CCCACAAAACACACATTCCAACCCAAAACAGTTAATTTCACACAGGCCAAAACATAAGATTTTAAAAACATTTCATTTCAAAATAGCATTCTTTAAAAATGGAATTTAATCCCAAAAGAAAAAATGTAAATAACCTTATAAAAACATGTTTTCAGTTTTGGATTGACCATAGCATTCTGTTTATTCATTTGATTCAGAATGCTGAATAAAAGCTATTTCAGTCTGACCTACGCTGATACCCTTCTTTCCCCAACCCCAAGGCCTCCATCTGGCAGCTCCAAAGAAGACATTGCTTGTTTGGTCTGTGGCTTCATACACTCATTAAGTCATGAGGTTTTGACATCAGTTCATGAATGCAGCATTATGTGTAGTCCCATTTACTTAAAAATTTCTTTTCATGAGCAAATGGAAGTGGGCAGTTATAGGGAAATCATTTTTATTGGACAGAYTTCATCCAGCAGCTCAAGAGAAGAAATTTCAAAGCAGATAAGRCTGCCAAATATTATTCAGTCACACTTAATCTCTAAAATTTACAAACTTTGCTCCCCACAAGTAACAACTTCAACAACAAACATAAACTGCTGTMCTGAATAATCCTGCCATTTCACAATGAGCCCCAGATACCCAGAGAGAACTGCAGAGGTCAAAAGTCCAGTGTTGAGTTTCATACATACTAATGGTACATCAMTGGGGTTCTGGAACACCACACCAGTGTGGAGTATTTGCACAAAGCCAGAACTCTGCTGGGTACTTTTAAACCCTTGTAAATACACAACAGGGAATAGACCTCATAATGAGTGATACATTATGCTGAAGGACATAAATAAAAGTCACATACAAAAATTCCCAGCAACAAGAAGTTTTGTCATCACTTATTCTGAATCTCAGCAAAGACAACATCAAGATACTATGTTTACCTTTAGCAATTAAATAAAATATGCCTTTTCTTGGTAGATCAATGACTCATTTTAAATTGTTTGAGTCTTTTCCATGTTTGTATGGACACAAAAATAAATAAGAAATTAAATTATCCTTGTGCTGTGACCACATGCAGCAGAAAATCCTCCTTTTTTTTGAATGGCTGAACTTCCAGAACAGCTGTTCACTTGTACAGTCACTTTTTTGAACATTATGGAAAAGAAGGGAACACAAAGTACAAAGTGGATAGTGCCTCTGATGGCCCAATGCTGGCTGGGCAGGGATTTAGCATGCTTCCAGCCAAAGCAAAGGATGAGCTCCAGAGCAGCCCATCCTTAGCCAAAACTCATCTAGGCATGCCCCAATTCTCTGCTGTGTTGGCTGCATGGGTAAGGTCGCATCGTCTCTACTTGGCATTTTCTAACTACACAGCTAAAGTACTACAGATTTAACACATGCATGATATTAGATACAGGAAACCCCAAGCTCTGCAGAGTTCTTATGCTTCCATGTAGGACTTCACTGAGATCAGCATCAAGGATGTGCACATATCCAGCAGAAGTGTGGGACAGATCCTGCTTCCCCAAGGGCAGGGTCCCTTCTTGGGCTCCCACACACAGAGGTGGAGCAAGGCTGCTGCCGTCACCCTCAGGAGATGCAGCCCTCGCCCTCCACACCACCAGCACATCCTCGCTGTGGGACAGGCACAGAGGTACCAGCCTGCAGACACACCTTCCTGCTGCTCCCTGCGGCAGTCACCACCCTCCCTTTGGGCACATTGAAGAACTTCGGTTGTGCCCGGCTGGGTAGAGTTGCTGCACCCCTGGTGTGAACCCCAATATTATTCCCATGGGAAATAAGACATCCTCTCTCAGCTGACTGTCCTAGCACTGAAACAGAGCCCTGCAGAGCAGCAAAGCTTTTACCTGGGCTCAACCCTTTGGCTCTTTTTGTCTTTGGCAACAGACCTTAGTGATTGGCAACAGACCATAATGATCGGTGCACAGGTTGGCGCCAAAGGAAAGAGCCTCTCCAACGGCAGCCCTGGGAAAGAGGAATGAAATTCCTTACCTAGTGTATGAACAAGTTCATTTAGGGGCTACTGTAAATTCCAGCAGTAGCTGCAGTTTGGCTCTTAGGCCTGCACCAATTTAGCAGCATTTGTCTCAAACCTTGTGGCACAGCATTAAAAGTGCAATTCCAAATATGTGCTTCCTGGGGTGGTACCAATACTGAGTTCAATCAAGTACAACTCTGCTACCTGCTGCCCAAGTCCCTAAACCCAGCATGAATTCCAGAGGTAYTCAGGGCAAATTCAATGTATTTTCAACTGTACCACAGGAGCAGAGGRTTGGATGCTGCCAAGAAAGATCCCAGATGATGTGTCAGAATAACAACACACATTCAATAAATAAACCAATTCTTCCCTCATCTAAGCCAGGTGGAAGTTTAGTGTGCTTGCACTTGACACTACAACACCTTCACCTCMTAGAGAATGGAAAAACTGCCATACAATCCTGAATATATGCAGCTCCTGCTGCCATCCCAGTTAGATAACATAAATGTAGCCATCAGAAGTCCCTGCTGATAACATCCCTGTAGCCATCAGAAGTCCATGCTCTCCATGAACCAGCAACACAACCTGTACAAGATTTGACCCATTTGCAAGCCAATACGAACAGTAGCATCAGATGTCTGGGTAACYAAAGCATTGGGTTTTCTTTCTGCTGAGCAGCACCAGCTCCATCAGTAGGTCTGCACAGMGGATGGATGATGCCTGTCAGCTATACCTTTGGATCCAGAGCAKAAAGTTTGAGCTCAGTGGTACTATCCCTACACACTGTGTCTTGCCTGTTCACTGCAGGGGCAGGGAATGGGATTCCAACTGGCATCACAAAACCCAGAAAGATACGGAAAAGAAGCAAACACGGATAGGAAAAACAGTCAACATTTGTGAACCAAAATGAAGTGCAAAGACATGAAGAGCAACTCCAGCACAATCATCAAACCACTGAGAAGCAAGATTCACAAACATTTTGGTCCATGTTTGGTTCTACTTTTGGATGATGTTTAACTAAATATGGTTAATTATCCACCAGGCTTGCATTCATGACTTGAACTAGCCACTCTTTCCAGTAAATGGTTTTTGYTTCACTGTATGAAAACTCTTTTGATCCCCTTGTGGGTGATTCTATTCTTAACGAAAGAGAGAGGTGATTTACTGATCAAATCCTCTGTGTTATTYTGTGTACTTTTCAGGGCAGGAACTGCATGGCATGGTATATACCATGACAGTTGCAATGGGAAATTCCTATTRTCACAGATCCTACCTCAGTAATTCTCAGAGAAACTCATTTTTAAGGAAAACTACTAAATTTGTTAAGGGTTGCTTCCAAGATGAAATGATGAAAGCTTGCCCGAGATTTTAGCAGAAACAGCCCCAGAGAGAGCCGCCAGAACTGGCAGAACAACATGGATAGAAACAATTCTCCCCTAGGGTGCTGTTTTGCACTATTACATTATTCCTTCATCAGTCACACTATTACACTTCGGGGATTATYTCATGAAAGGTCACGCATATGCTCTTGAAAAATTAAGCACACATGAATAATTTTGGGAGAGGAGTCAAGTTTCCTAACTTTAGCCACCTCAAAATTTAGAAGCCAAAATTCTCTCCAAAAAAGGAAGACAGGCATTTCCAGTGGACAYCTCCTTCTGTACTAACCTTAGGATGAACTGAGTCAGCCTTTGGAGAGCTCTCTCTCTCTATTGACTGCTTYTCTTGCTGATCAGAACTCTGAGCTGACTAAAGTCAAATAAGATGAACCACATTGTTGATGCCCTCCTGTTCGAAAACCTGAAGCTCTAGAACAGGGCATAGGACAGGCAGGAGCACACAGCAATCAGAGAGAGTAATCGGAAGGAAAAACCCTCGAGAAGCCCTTAGTGCTCCTAAAAAGAGCAAAACTGTTAAGTGGTTTTAAAAAAAAAATCTAAATTACTCTGACAGTTCTCTTTCCAACTTAAAATGGCAAAAGTAATGTGACGGCCTTGAGAAAGAGGGTCATATTTTCTCTTTTAATTTACTGCTCATCCAAATGTTCTCTTATTTGCCATAGTCAGACTTAACAAAAAACCCTGAAAAGGTTTTTCTCAAGTTTAATACGATTTAGTGCTATATGCTTGTGTTCTTTGTTTTTTACTATCTAAAGACCTAGTGCTGTAAATACATCAGCACTGGAGCAGCTTTATGCAAAAAAACAGTATCCCTTAATGGGGATAATTCATGTGCCTTTCACTATATTCTTTCAAGACATTCTCAAAAGAGTAATTATTTCAAGACTGCTATCTAAAATATTAAGAAGAAAAACTGGACAAACATAGCAAAAGAGTTTGTCCACCCCTGCACTGGTGACAGGGAATGATTAATACAGTACCAGTAGCTGGCCACTTTAGGGAGGTGAGGAGGCTGGGAGTCCTATGCAATTTTTTTCCTTGTAAATGGATAGGAAATTTTCTCATCCCTTTTGTTTTTCACTCACACTTACCACTTGGTGGAGATGGGAGCATCTGGGTTAAGGGATATGAAATTACTTATTGGTGTGCAACTCTCAAGTGTGAGTTCACAGYGGTTTAAAAGAACAGCACTCATCTAAATAACATATGGTTTTGGGTTGTATTTCTACTGTTTTCCACCTAAAATCAAAATGCATGATGAATTCACTCAAAAGTCARTCCCAAACAAAGGAAATTTTGTTCAAATCTTCATAAGACTAGCCTAAGTTCGGCTTTATAATAAACCCCATTATCATTACTGTGTCATGCCACTTTCCATTCATGAAGGTTTTCCACAACCCATTTTAATTAGCAAAGCCGTAACACTGAAGCTTATCAGGAGCCCACAGAAGACCCTCCCTCCCCAAATACTGGGGCATATGCACTGTGGTTGAGGACTGCTTTGTTTTAAAAGCCACACATTTTTCCTATTTAATTGTGCTTTTGAAAAAAAAAAAAAAAAAAAAAGAAGAAACAAAACAAAACAAACAAAAAAAAACCAAACCAAAAAAAAGAACGACTACTAAACCAACACAGAGAAGCTCCTAACAGGCTGTAAGAAAAGTCAGCTGCCAAGATTTTCTGAATCATGCGGCACTTTCACATCAAGTCCTGTTATTCTGTGTGTTGGTTGGAGGTGTAATAATACAGCATGGTGGTGTCAGCTGTCATGGTAAGAACCATTTATGTCAGACATTACAGAAAATTTAATGACACAACAGTACCTTCACAGCCCTCTGGTAGGTAAGAAAAATCTAAAAGGATCTTCCCAACCTTGCACAGTAAACACAATTGGATAATCTAAAGCACCTGCAAGCAGGGGATGAGTCTGTGATGTATCTTTGCAATCAGCCAGCTAATACTGTTATTAAAACAGTTAAGTTTATCAGCTCTTAAGTCTCCTATCTGTTTTGGGCATTTTGAAGGATCATATCAGTTTGGCATTTAGCTGCCAACAGATCTAATTGATCCAGACACTGTATTTCCTTTTCCTGTATCCTCAGCTGTTTCTAAGAGACTCAAGCCCTTCACAGGGGCTGAATTACCATCTCCAAGASCTGTCTGGTTCCTATTGTTTCCTAGGAGCTCAGAGGAGCTAGCAGTACAGAGACATCCTGCTCTTCCGCATGGCTTCGCTGATTAAGTATGCCGGGCTCAGTTCTGGCTCCTCAGTCATGATTGAAATGTTCTGCCACTCCCCCAGCTGGTTTGACTTTTTAATAGTGTCCACCACACACAGGGCATACAGACAGTCATCAAAAGTGGCAGCCATTGTAAGGGGCCTCCCGTCCCAGGTCCTCCTGTCGTCCTGGTCCTCAAAGGCCTGCCGGACAGCCTGGACCATCTTAATGGTGCCCCGCAGGTAGGGGGATGGGATGTCACTGAAGGCTTTCTCTGGAAGCAAGGAGTTGCTGACTGGTGTGGAGTCCTTCAGCAGGAGCTCCCGCTGAGGAGAGCTGTTGCTCTGCCCGTAGAGATCAGTGCCTATCACAATCAGCCGTCCCGCTGAGCCCACCACGATGATGTCCTGTTTGAACTCCCCTGGGATGTTGAAGTTGAGCGTCACTGTGCAGCACACCCCCCCTTCCAGGACCATCTGAAACGTACAGAAGTCGTCGCTGGTGATCTGCCGGATGCCCTTGATGTGRTCCGTCTGCTTCACAAAGGTCTTGAGCAGCCCGTGCACCTTCACAGCCTTCTGGCTGGTGAGGAAGGTCAGCAGGTCGATGATGTAGGTGCCCACCGAGTGCAAGCCCCCGCCTCCCATCAAGTCATCGCAGCTCCAGTTGTACTTCTTTCCCAGCAGGCTCCCGCTGTGGACCTGCACCTCGCACACCAGCAGCTCCCCTACGTAACCCTCCTGGATCAGCTGCTTCATCTTCACGAAGGCAGGAAGGAAGCGCAATACATTCCCCATGATGCTCATGAGCTTTGGGTAATAATGAGCCGCAGTCATCATCCTAAAGGCGTCCAGGGGAGTCGCCGTTCGGTCACAGATGACGTTTTTCCCAATGCCTGAAAAATAGTAAAGGAAAAAAAATTCATCAACAATAATTTATCGAGTAAGCTGAAAGCCTCGAGGCTATTCTTAAAGACTAAGCCAAGGAGAAAGACTCCTAAAAGAATAACACCATATTGAAATGTTTTTAAGGCACAAAGACCCACTCTGGCATGCTTCCAAAATGCATGTAAGTTTTCTGAGCACCACAGTGAAAATGCATTCTGATTTATTTTCAAAATTCACTCAACTGTAAAAATAGCTCAAAGGTGAGGGCCTGAACAGAAGAAAGTAAGCYACCTTACTTTCTGGGAACAGGAATGAAACCAACCACCTCCCTTAGCYATCTCACAGGGGCTACTGTGAGCTGAATCTGAGGTTCAGACTCAAATTCCTGAAGCATATGAGTGACACAAGTGCACGTATTCAGTAACTTAACACAGGAACATTGAAAAGTCTGGCTTTGTCTTCTCAGGAGTCTTGTCTCTCCATCATTCCTGCTCAGACTGTTTTAAGAGGCTCTGAGGAGAGAAGCACTCGGCTTGCTGCTTAATTTAAAATGAAGAAATTGCTTCTCACTCACAAAATGCCATGCTATTTTGACAATGGCACTTAAGTTTCTTTGAAACCATTCTGCTGAAATGTCAGCAGCGCATCCATGATGCCAAGGGAGAGTCACGATTGCTCTAAAACAGGTCAAATATAGCTGTGACAATCTGTTCCCTCATGGAATTGTCCATATGGCAAACTGTCTACTGAARCTTGCATGACAGTCCTCTTTTATCTGGTCATCAAGGTGTGCAACTGAATGCAGTGCAGGCTAAATAATGGGCTTATTATTGATTTTTCCTCCTGAAACACTTTCATTCTGCACCCACACACATACAGYGAAAGAATCTCCAGTTCCTTCTTAGTTGCATTCAGGCACTTTTTTATGCTTAACTGTCAGTATTAGGTGAGCTATGAAACACTTTGGATGTAAACGATAACACTAAATATGATCTTTGCCTTGAGAGCCTTGGGCTACAGCTGGGCCCAGTACTTAAAAGAGCTGAATTTGGGTCCTCACTGATGGAGCCCAGATGAATAAATGTGATTACTTGCTAAATCACATTGTATTTTCACTACTATTCCCTTCAGGTAGGTAAAAAAAAATCCCTTTTTCTTTAAAGAGCTGTTCTGAATATAAAATTTTATATGTTTTGGAGCTGTTTGAATGAAGTCATATAAATACAGACAGATGGCAGGGATCTATCCAGCCCACTTACATGAATATTTAACAGCCTGACTGGAAGAAGAAGGGGGTCACAGTCCAAACATTCAATAACCATCTTATCCACACACTGCCTATTCCCAGTCTTTGTCTGCTGCTATTTTGAGTAGCTGAAACTGGAGGGAGGGAGGGCTGTCATCGCTGAAGTGGCAGTCACATCCAGTTAATGGACAAGAAGGGAAAGATCTTTCTTCAACTCACTCCTATCTACCTTCTACTTAATGAGATAAGTAGAGACATACTCATTTTCTGCTTAAATTAGGTAAGAATCTCCTATTCAGTGGCAATGATTTTCTCTTCTTACTTTTCTCTCTCATCTTTACAGATAGCTATTGGTGACTGAGTCGACATTTTCAATCTAATAGTACTTCTTTTCCTGCCCCTGAATAATTTTTTGCTGCATCTATTTGATATTGGAGAAAGCATTCATCCACCTGWCCTATATTCCCCTAACTGGTAGCTCCAGCTATGCCACTTGACACAGATCACCAGTATAATAGTCCTCGAGTTACATGGATTCTTGCTAGAGATTTTAGTCTGGCAAATTAGTTATCAAAATAAGGGAAATCTTACTCAGACAAAGCTTCCCTAGAGTCAAACCTTCCTGAAACAGCACTTTTCCTCACAAAGAACCAATATGTACTGCCTCATCATTTGACCTGCTCACCACTGATCCACAGGTATCACATTCTGCTCCATTTCAGCTTGCTTCATTCTACCTCACAGACGCCTGCTACATTTTATCTGAGGGCTGTCCAGGCACTGTGGCTCAAGATATGCAGCTCTGCACATGTGCTTGCTAGGAAAAGGATCTGCTTTCAAGAGGAATTGCAGCCCAGGGACAATGTTTTTGCTGTTCAGTGCCATGCATGGTGGAGGTCAGTCTTTCCCCATGTGGGGCAGGGAATACTTGGGAATGTAAACATCTGAGGAAGAAATTATGATTAATAACATGAAAGAGAAGCCTATGGGTTTTTCATCCCTTACATTCAAGAAAAATTGCAACTGGGATCAGTGAAACTCAGACAAACATGCAGAGAAAAGGGAAGAAGCTAAATATTTATATGGGGAAGAAGYTGAGGTCTTAAAATTTCTCCTTCCACCATTTCTAAGGTTGAACCTTCTAATTTCAGCAAATCCAAAATGCAAATGTTCCGAGAGACTTTCTGTCTCTGTGCATATGCTGATAATACATGCTGTGCTCTCATCCCTGTCAGGGATTTAAACAGATTTTTGCTTGATGCCCAGAAAGCTTTTATATGTTATTAAGGCTTGTATAGTTCTTTCAGCATGACACTGCTCAGCACTTGAGTCCATGCACGCTACAGATCTTTGTCTCCTCTGTAGCTGCAAATCTGCAAGCAACCACATTAGCTTTCTGGAAGCAGGGAGAGAACATGAAAGGTTTGCTTAATTCAATTTAGAGAAATACTCTGGTGTGTTTGTGCAACCAGAATGAGAATCAGGCAGATCAAAACACCATTTTTCTGCTCTCTTCCCTCCACTCCCTTCTCGAAAGGAGAAGGAAGAAAAGGCACCTTCCCTTTGAGCCATTCTCTATAGCAGCATCAGGCAGAGAAGAGGGCAGTGTATGAGGAAAAKCTCCCTTCCCAACACTGACAGTCCCATGGAAACACCTGCTCTGACTGCAGGTGCTGCAAAGGCTTCTCTAGGAACTGACCCCCTTTTCCTTTAATCTGGGGCTGTGGTCTAATCCTCTTCACTTTTGGAYGAGACTCTAGGAAAGGATGAATTGTTTCTGCTTGTCATTCGCTCAGTGTGTTTTGCTGTTTCACACGCCTTTGAAAATTGCACCAAAACAGACAGCAAAAACTTCATTAATTACCTAAATGCAGAGAAGTGCAGCCAGCTTGTTTTAGCAACAACARAGTGCAGTGTATTTGTCCATGCTGATAAGCCACGGAATTGAATAAATCTCATCCCAGAGAGTTGAATAAATCTCATCCTATGAAAGAATACCCACCTCTTCCACCTGCATCAAGAAATCTGGTATACAGTGCTAGAGTTCTCAATCAGGCAACTTCTGAGCATTGATTTCTTCACTTCTTAGGTAAAATGAAGAAGAAAAATATTTTCAATTTCAACAAACATGTCAGTCTTTTTGAGGGTTTCATACAGACTTCACCCTGATCTCCCTGCTCAGCTATACTTTAGAAAGAGAGGGAGTGGTGCCAACCAGGTGCTAAATCACAAGGCATGAGATTTCTCTGACCTGGCACAGAGTAAGTGAAGACTCACTCCTSGCCAGCCCAAATCCAAAGCAGAAAGTGGGGAAACATATCTCCTACCAAAGTCTCATAAAGTGCATCCCCCAAGCCAAACCWTAACAGCTTTGGTACCAATCTGCATTTTTGTAAAGAAGATTATTGAAGAACACTGATCTTCTCTGATKAAGTAGACGTCTCTAGAAACAGCTGAGCAAATAGAAAAAAAAAAATTGTGTGCTGTCATTGGTGCTACCATTCAAGCAAAGATCTCTCTAGCACCTTTCGTTGAAAAGCCAAATCTTGACCATGCTCTAATGGCTTGTCACCCACCTCACACTAATTAATTTTGTCAGGAAGACATGATTTATTTGMAAGCCTCAGTCTTCATCTTTAAAAAAGGAAGTCCTTGTGAATTGGAGATAAACCCAGAAGTGAGTGGTGAGTAGATATGCTCCAGGGTAGCAATATTTACAGTTTTTTCCATGCAAGTGCAGGTAAAGAGTGAGGAGCTACAGTAAGAATTTAACGACCGAYTTTACAATTCCTGGCATTTGCATCTCTGCATTTTACAGATGATTCAAGCTCCTTGGCTACCAGCAGCCCACATTTCTTTGTCCCTGTATCATCCCYGTGCTGCACAGCCTGAAAACGAGCAGAGCTCCTGGGCTCAGAGCACAGGGAAGGTTAAGCGGCTATAACCAGCACAGGCATCACTAATTCTGAAACCCACAATGTCAGCCTTTTATCGCATCTGATCGTWTCAAATAAGGACAGAAACATTTTCATATAAAAGAACTCCAACTACTTAAAAAAGTGCCACTGAACTGAAGTAAGACTAGTCCTCTATCTGTTCATCCCAAGACATGAGGCCCCAATACAGTATTTTCTCCTCCTCCTATTCACAAGAAAATCAAAATGGGCTTTATTTGGAGTCTGGRCATATAATCAAACCCTTCACTGGCACCACAAAGATTCATTAGTTAGCTGTTGCTACCTAKTGGTCTTTGTCAAGATGGGGGAGAGGAAAGAATAAATAAGGTTTTAGTGGACTGAGCTAAATTAGTTGGCCAAAAAATAGATTTCTAAAAGTAAAGAACTGTCAAGCATTCAAGGGACAGTCTGAGCGTTTCAAAAAATAAAGGAGTAGTGGAAGAGCACGCTTACCACAGTTTTAAATGGATGATTTAAAATACTTAAAAGCAACTTTTGCAAACACCTTTTTCTTAAAATAGCAGCTACTACAGAATTACATTCCAAATGGTCACAATCTGCATTATCATTAATACAGATACAATAAATAAGGAGGCCTTTGTCTTCTTCTGGGAAATGAAGAACGATGTCTGGCCATCTTGAAAAAACAATCACTCAGGTGATTCAAAAATCTTTTCACACAGAAGGAAGATTTTTATTAATATGTAGATGTGTCTCTGCTATTATGAAATGCTGCTGCCATTGATATTGTGACACAGTAATGATCATRGTAACAATAAAAACAATAGTTACATTTATTGTATTC